TTTTTATCGTTTCGTTAAATAAAATTTGTTGAAAAAATCCGCAATAATTATGCATCAACCTAATATAAAGAATGCAGTGAGTTGATGTAGTTCTTAGACAGAACATAGCGTAAAACGTGGAAATAGGGAAAAGAAACTACTATTTCAATCTATGCCGCGTTTCTACAACCCCGTTTAATAGAATTTGTATCCGCCCATGTTTTTTTCTGCTCCATCGTCACTAGTTGTACACACGCTGCGAAGAAACACAAAAATACGATCAGGGAGAGATGAACTCGATGTATTAGCTATAAGGCAGCGCACTTGGAACGGCCAGGACCTGCTCACTTGGAAGTAACCTTTTTGATGCTATTAGGTACCACGTATAAGCAGAAGGTCTTTGTTTTCTGTAATTCTAATTGTTCTCAATCACAGATTCCAATTCATTTCCTATATATGAAAGCTTTATATACAGATTGTTCTCTGGGAAATGCTTCTGTTTTCTTCTCTTCCACACTACCGCGCAACTTTGAATAGGGACGTAGGTATGTGCCATTTACGAATATAGACATCAAACCAGCTTCATGAATTTCCCGAGGAAGTTATCAGTTCTCAAATTTCGCTTGATTAAAGGTTGGAATCAGTGTAAACTGATATGTGCAACTGTCCGCGAAGACATCAAACAGCGCCCTGGCGCAGAGTTAGGGCTCTCCCCTTTCAGGCAATAGATTTGGGTTTGCCCCTTCCGCCGATTCTCTTTTGCACAGCGTGCTTTCTTTCAAAGCTTTTTCAACAAGTTCTATAGTATTTGAGAAGGGCCTCATTTCGGCTATATTTTACGCTCATCGCACTTGTTTAAGACAAAACGTTACCGCTCGTAATTCATATGACTCTCTTGTGTTTCCACCATTTNTTTAACCCACAGAAGAGAAATTGCCTCGGAACAGATAGACACGAGAAAAACTAAACGGCGATGGAAGAGCCAAAAAGATGTGTGAATGAAACATGTTGTTGCAAAGCAAATTTTGCTCGTGATACTTGCTGCCTCCCCATAATTTAACCAGGAGGGGTCACCACGGATCTCTTAATTGCCTCAAGACTGAACAAGTTTATGATGGTAGATAAAAATGACAACATTGGGAATCAATAGACGTTTGATTCTGCAGCGTTGGTTAGTTTTCGTATGCCCAATTACATAAAACAGTACAATTGCCTTCATATACCATGAAAAAGGTAGTTATATAAATTATGTGCAAGAACGTTGTGTCCTGAGTAAGTGCGATGAGCGTAAGTGGTAGCCGAAAGCGCTCACTTGAATATGTAGGTTTGAAAAACTTTTGATTGAAAGAAAACGCATTGAGCAAAAGAGCTGTCGTAGGCGGAGTGTGAACCCACATCTTTCGCCCAAAGAGGGAGAGCAGGGAGGCCACGGAGCTGCCTTCTGTCAACAAGAGCAGCTGCGCATATCAGCTGACACTAATCCCCTGATCAAGCGTACTTTGAGCGTTCATTAGTTCCTTGGGAAACTCACTTAACTTAGCAGTTTTAACTTCTATATTCGGAACCAGCATTCTGAACTCAATCATTATACCTACATAGATCTATAATTAGAGCATGGAAGTTCAACACCCTTTACTTGTGAGGTTAATAATATCAAGGAGCATGCATGAACCGACAGCTAACCTTAAACATGTGCTATTCATTTGGATGAAGTAGTCGTAATGAGCCAGTAAAAAAGTCTGAGTGCAGTAAGGTTAATGACCCGAACAGATCCAAATAATCTTCTCCTAAGGAATCTTAGCAAATCGAAGGCGCAGGAGCTTAGTTTAGGCAGATGAGACAGAGAAGAAACAATGGTTTAATCCAAAAATTGACGAAAGTACCTACTTTTTCTTATCAGAAACAGTTTGGTCCTTGCATTTGTAACTTATAATAGGTAAATTTTGCGCCGCTGCCATTGTCGCTTCTGTTCGACAGTTCATTTCCGGACCAATGAACACACGTGCCCCCATCTTCCAATGATCCATAAAATATTGTGTGCCTGAATGCAAAGTGATTCAACACTCATATCAATGAAACTGCACTACCGGAAGTTTCAATGTTGTTAAATTGCAAACATTCTTTCGTATATTAATTGAGTTGCTCTTAAAAGGAATGCAGCGCATTACAGTCGTTATGTTAAACGAGTAGCCAAGTGGCTGATTTGTGTTTGATACATAGCGATTAATCGTTACAGTTTATAAATGCTTGCAAAAATGTGAAGGCATACATGAAAACTATTCATTCAGAATCATTTCCACCGATTTCTATCTCGCTGTAAGTGTGACCAGACAGACATGCGAAAAAAGTTCGGAGCCCCAGACAACATTTGAAGCCGCGCCTAACCTCCCATGCACTGTGCTTGCACTACTGACCCGGCAAACCACGGTAAATACAAAATTAGAAAGAAGACGACAGCAATATAGACTAGGTAAACAATTAGCTAAGCATGCCAGGAAACAGAAGCGAGGGTTCGAGAGCATGTGACTTCGGATTATTGACCACAACTCGTTCTTTTTATCATGACTTACATCCGAAATTGTGGCGAAATTAGCAGTAAACAGAACGAAATAGAAGGACACTTCTAAAATGTTATTCTCACTGTTTTATTTTGCTTCCATCTAGGCCTCCAAATTTTCTTCTTCTTACTAATGCATAGCTATTTACAAAAACCTGTCGGCATCTAAACCACCACCGCTGGAGGATGTTCTGTCTGAGAGGATCTAGGACTTCGAAAATTTTCTTATTCTTACTAATACATAGCTGTTTACAAAAGCCTGCCAGCATCTAAACTACCACCGATGGCAGGATGCGTGAACGCTATGACTACAGTATCCAATTTTGCGTGCAAGCTCAGAGGGTACAGTACTTAACTATATAATCTAGGAAACATCAAAGCATTATAAAAATAAAAGTAGATGTGAAAAAGAAATAAAAAAGAATTCCTTGACTTACTTTGTCGTTCTTTACCACACGTGTTGTCAAAAATATAATTTAGACGATGATTGGGTAAAAGATTTGGGTTAGCATTGATTTCATTGACAGCCACATGTAAAGCACCAGAGATCATTGAACCTGAATATGAAACAGCATAATCGTACTAATAAACGAGAAAATAACAAATGCTTGATTATTTTCTCCTTTTAATGAGTATATTCAGAAAAATAAATAGACATAACGAAATTTGAAAACTAAAATTACCATCAAAATCTGTACTAAAACAATTGAACATGGTATAGATCTGTTTGAAACGCTCATCATGAAACGGCGATGACGATGATGAAGAATCGGACGCTCGAGTCTAAAATAGAGCTCATCTTCAAATACTTCTGAGAGGCATCGGACCTTATCATATTAACTCCTTACCCGAGCTATACTAATGGCTTTCATAAACTCCTCTGGTTGTTCATCTAGTCGCGATACAGCGGCAAGATAACTTATTAGAATCTCATTGTCATTCGTTGAATTCGCATCAAGAAGCTGAAAGTAAACAACTGAATGTAGGCGGAAGAAGTAGAAAAAGAAAAACACATGAGTTTGGCCCTATTTCTGGAACATGCCCAATTATAGGCTACAAGAACTGATGGATTGTAATTGCGGTGTTTTCTGGAATAAGTTTCGGAAGGAATCGAGGAATACCACGTAAGCGTATTATAACTGACTAACAAACTATTAGTGACTATTAACGATAACCATATGAGAAACAGAGTAAAATCCAGGGCATTCGAATAAAGAAGCTAAGTGCCTTGTTGACAGAGGCACTGGCGAATAATGTTCCAACTTTCTTTCTCATATCCCTTTCCAGTTTACGAAAAAGCTGGAGCTAATGTTCCCTAGGAGATTTACGGCACAATAATGGGAATATCGATGGGACTAGAAAAACCCTTAGCAAGCTGAATACTTCTCAAGACTCACACGCAAAGCCTTATTACTGCAATCAGTCCGCCTAAAAACCTGCATTCATCTCAACTCTTAACTTGTTTACGTAACTCTTCTTAAAAAAACCAAGGGTTTTGCAAAGACTGTCTACTTATCGCATGCAGATTTACCCCTCAATCCTAATCTAAGCAATTTCCTAATTTGATTAAATGATTTTTGCAAAATAAGCAATTTGCAAACGAAATTACTAGAACAGCACTTACCGCGCCGACGCTTGGCTGCGATACTTCGCGTGAATCCATGGTCTGACATTGAGAACATCGTAACAATAACAATATTAGTAACGTAGGGTCAACAGCAAACCAACAGTGGCGCATATTCAGTTTTAATTAAACATTCGAAGACGCCACATCCACTCTGAAATTGTAAAAATACTTGGAAGACATAGAATTCGCCAACTTGCCTGTAATCAGAACGAGGCCGTCTTAGCCGTTTAAAACGATTTCATAAGCATGAACGATAATGACAAAGATGTAAGAACGAGAGAGCAATAATTGATGTGAATGTGCACGAGCTATATGATCATATCAGGACGTCGCTGGCTGCAAGAGAAGCGGCAGCATTGGTCGTTCCAAGAGCGCTGAGTCAACGAAAAAACATCGCTGTGCAGATCGCTGCTTCCTGCAAAGGCATGGGGCTGCAACGACGGGGAAATGGGGGAATCGCAGCAGCGGGCGGGTGACTGGCCGGTCTCTGCTGTCGGGCACAAAGTGCAGGGGGAGATGTGAAAAACACGAAAACATCGGAGGAAAAGCTCGCTACCGTCGTCGTGGCCGTCGCGGCGGTCGTCAAGGCAAAGAATAAATTGGCAGCCAGAATGAACGAATTCAAGAGTAATTTGGACGACGTTGCACTTGCAGAAGAGGAGAATGGGAATGAGCAGCTAACGACAACAAACGATGACACCCAAACTGGGACCCACTGCACAACAATCTGGCTGAAAAAAAGATTCATACATATTAAGGCTACCAAACCTGGACTTGTTGTAAATGGGTGCAGTTTGGGGAAGCCGGAATGAGCAACCCAAGCTTGAACGAAATATTAGCCTACAATTCACGTGCTCAGCATGTTCAAAGTGCTCGCCAGCCTACTGCTGACACGTGTTTTCGGTTAGTGCGCTCCAAAGAAATTGGGCGTTATGGCAAAGGGGCGTGGCTAAAGTAAAGGCACGCCAGCAATTGACCAACGCCGACTCTGAATGGGCCTTATTTGGGAACTGTTCAATATTGAAGAGCAGCAAAGATTGCATAGTGATAAAGAGTTCAATTAGTCATGTACATATAAAGATTACCGTCTCATGACTGAAACATATGGTGAACATACATATGTGTGCTCAGAGGATCCCAAAATGTGGAAAGGATTAGTTAAAGTGTATGGCGCAGTTTATTTCATGCCAGAGTTGAATCTACTTTAAAAATAGAATAGGTACCAGAAAAACGTTGTTTAAAATGAACTTTACAATGTGACAAACACAACACTACATGCATTTTAGAACTCAAAACGAACGAAAGCCAGCGGGTACCAGCATCAGATGATTATCGCAATTTCTTGACGTTCTATACTATTTACTAACGACCAGACCTCGAACATGGATTTTGTTAGCCAAGCCAGGGTTATGTGACTTCTTGAACTTTCTCTGCGTCCCTGACACCGAAATGGTAGAGCGCAGTGAAAAATACCTTGGATGAAGGACACGGAGAATGGTGGGGTCCTATTTGTCAGACAAGCACAGCAGCAAAAAACTGGATTAAACGGGAGTGCGACAGAGGAGGGCAGAAAAATAGGCGCGGTCGCCACAACTAAAGGGCCGAGTTCAAGTAGTCCATAAGCCGTCAGTAATCTGGTTGTGGGTTCTGACTGGAACGTCTGATAAAGACAATGGCCTCACAATGAATGGTGTAACTTTGCGACCTTCTACGGTTTCGTCTATCACACTATATGTGTGGCGACTGTAGTTCAACACCCGTGTAGAGCAACCCTTCCTTGTTCATTACAATACTAAAACCACGCACCCCTACATATTATTTTTCGACATTTTACGACTAGTAGAAAGGGTGTGGTGCGATTTGTGCGATTCTGGGTGCGCGCGGCGAAATTCGGTGCGATTTGAACGACTGCAGCCTTTATCATTGGGGCCCAAATTTGAAGTAAAGTAGGTTAGTAGCATTGTCCGAC